CGTTCGAGCTCACGACTGCACCTTTGGTTTTCACCAAGCTGCTGCAGGTGGTAGTGGGATTCCTGCACTCTCGAGGAATAGATGTTCACATCTATTTCGACGACTCCCTCATGCTCCACCTAGTGAGAGAGTCTCTGGTGCAGGTCACCCGGCTGGTTCTGAAACTCTTACTCAAGGTCGGCTTCATTCCTTCCAGAGAAAAGTTGGCTCGTTGGCTCGTTGGCTACGCCCGCTGTCTGATGACCTCCTATACCATCCTCCCGATACATGGCCAACCTATGGACTGACGTGCGAATGGATTTGACCACCCGTCGTAAAACTTTGGTAAATACGTAACCCGCCGTCGCTATACCGAAAGGGAGAACATTATAGACGAATGTTAGCGTTTTGCCATCGATTGCGTACTCGAAACCTAGAAAAGTGCGACGTTCGGGGAAAATCTCAATATGGTGATATGCCGATTTGAGATCAAACGTAAACAGATAATCGCCTGTTTAAAGCATTTCCCTAGCTACTCTAGCATCATCGTATTTGAATCTGAATTTATGTAAAAACGGGTTGATATGCCTACAATCCAGGACGAGGCGTGGCTTACCGGATCTTTTGTACGCTACTGTTAACGGATTTGTGATCTGGGTACCTAACGGGACTTCTGAGACGCAACCCAGTCTTAATAATTTTGTAATCTCTGTCGCAACGAATTCGGGGTTATCTCGTGCTGACTTCTTATTATGCATGTGTGCATCAGGTGGTATCTCCCTAAAAGGAATTGTATACCCTCTGTCGATGATTGACAGTACCGTCTCGTTAGTACCTTTGTCCACCCAATGTTGTATGTTACCTTTTAATCTACCAACCGGTGAACTCTCGACGTCAGAACATTTACCGTTATGAGTATCGGAATCGACCGCATCCTCGTGCTGGCCTCTGACCTGTACATGCTGGGACGAAATTTTGCCAACACTTACCTTGTTCCCGGTGAACGATTCAATCCCATGTGTAATAAAAACTTTACTTATCTTACAACCCGGCGTATATACTGTGGCCCCGGGGGCTCCCGGACACTCCTGTCTGCAATGACCCATCTTCCCCCACCCAAAGCATGTGCCCGGCCTGAAGCCGCTCCGGGGAAGGCTATTGCTCCTCCCCTGCGTTGAGATGACGTTAACGTTGGCAGGGGGTCTCGTTGCGGTCGCAGCACGGTTGTAAGAAGCGTACCTGCCCCTGCCCCTGCCCCTGGTCGATATAGCTTTTAAAGCCTTAGCTATTCTGTCCGGTCCATCTTCTTATCATCTTTGTTGTCGGATGCTATTGGGTTTAGTATATACTCATACACTGTTTTGCAACCGCCCTCCGAACTGTCGGCTAACTTAACAAGCTTATCGCGATAGTCTATCATAGCCTAACCTTCCTCGATAGAAACTCTGGTGGCATCGCCGTCCGTATTCGCGGTGTGAAGACCCTCCGCTATTTTAGCCAGCACTTCCGCTTTGAATTTATGCTGTTCTTAGAAACCTGGGATATGTATACTTTCTTTTTCTGTGATGATTATTACTGGTTTTTTTTTTTATTAATATATGTGATTATCTCCTTTTACTTGTAATATAATATGTTATTGTTATTTTTACATATGGTTGTCTTCATAATAGCTCTCAAGAGCTAATGTACCTTGTTTACCTGTATGCGACGTTAAATAAAGTTTCTTGTATCTTGTATCTTGTTCCTCACAACTCCTGCTCTTGAACTTGTAGGTGTTCGTGTTTAGGATAGTTTGCTGTATTTTCTCAGAATTATTCAGTTTTAAGGAAATTAAATTGTCTAACTGAGATAGCAGCTCGTTTTGCGATGTGCTAAGCGCACTATGTATTTGAGCTGAAACCTGCGCAGACACCTGAGTACGAAGATCTTCCTCCATTTTGCGTGACCGCACTGGTAGAACGACAGCTAGAGAATGAGCTCACCGCGTGTACGCAACCAGTCCACCGGCCCACTGGCCGCTCTTGCCACTCGTGCCAGTAAAGACAAATAATTCCCTGTATTCTCCGAACCGCGGGAATATTTCATTATTTCAACAACGAACAGCCTATACAGAGATCATTCGGCGAAACAATTCAGACAATTGATTAATTATGCGTCTCTAATAAGGACTAGAAATGATAGATATGGTATAAATACGTATACTAAGTAAACAAATATGCAAATGTGTATTTATTTACTTAACATTATTTTCTACTGCTAATTTATCGTAGCTAGCCCCTATAGATTACAACGGAAATCTCGATTAGAATAGTTTATCTTCTCAGATCGTTTCATTCCATTTTGTTTTCAAACACTCCTCGCGTTTCGTTCCACCCATTTTCAATCCATACGGTCCTGTGAGCAAAACATACTTCGTTCCTTTCTATTCGCTTTTCGTTCCAAACACTGAAATTATTTCCGTTCCGTTCCGTTTGGGCCTTGTTTCATTCCGTTTTCATTTCGTTCTCGTTGCGTTTTCATTGCGTTTTCAGCTGACCATGAAAGAACACAAAAACAAAGTCTTAAGTGATAAAGGTATGCTCCTCGGTAACAGCAAAATATATCCTGTTACTACGTTCACCCGCCTTCTGTGATTTCTCTTATTGAAGATGATCGCATTTATGTTTCCTCGATTGTGCGAATTGGTGCTTGTTGGTGTTCATCCTCCTACTTAATATAAATGCTTTATGATATGGTCGTCTATGAAATCCCATAATAGGTATACTCCACATACATGTTGAGAATGCATGCATTTAGTTATCGAGAATAAATAACCATCTGTGAGAAGAAATATCTGCTCGATGGAAGCCGATTGAGATCATTCTAAACCTAGGATGATACACTTATGAAAGCTATAACATGTGTATGAAAATTTGTAAAACAATTCAGGGATTGATAATCACACAAGTCTTTAATAAGACTACAAAGCATACCCGTAACAAAATATACATACCAATGGTATTATGAAATACCTTTAATACCTTTGGTCAAACATGAAAGTAATTATATTGTATGCTACTATTGAGGAAATGAGTTTTCAGCTTTTTTAATTAAGGATATTTTTTTCCTCCAAGTTAAAATTTAATAGCATTTGGATATAAGTAAATCAAACACTGCTATAACTTTTGTCGACATAACTATAGAATCTGATGTGATAGGGCTCGCCGGCCAACATCGATGGGGTTTTCAAACTATGGTTACTTTTAAAATTAGTTTGCTACAAAAAGAATACTTGGCTTCTAGCTTTTTCTGGTCCACACGTCAATACTGACCTATTGCATACCAAACTAGACGCTAACTCGAGGGATATACATCTTAGGCACAGACGTTCGGGGAATGGACGTTCATGATAATAAGACATTGAAGCAGTATAGGCTATAAAGAGAAATCTTGAAAATGTTATATGCCTACTGCGGTGATTATGAAACCGAAAGTTGAATGCATTAAACCCATGACGTATGCCGTTATTGTAGCAATTATGACTTCATTTGTATTTTAGGTCACCTGAGCTTAACTCAAGTGACCTATTGCTATCCTTCTTCGTCCGTCGTCGTGCGTCGTCCGTTAACACTTGACATTTTCAACTTAAGCTGAAATACTTAAGAAGGGATTTCATGTATATTTCCTGGGAATGTTACAGACATCTCCCTGATTAAGCGTTGTTATTATTCGGATTGCTTAGAAATCCAATATGGCCGCCAATGCCGCCATTTTGAAGAAAAAAAACATTTCAAACTGAAGGTCAGGTTCTAATGGGCTGATTTAACTGAAACCTTGTTGGAATGAACGACTCATGGTCCTGACAAAGTGTTGTTATTTTTGGGGACCATCAAAAATCCAATATGGCCGTCAATGCCACCATTTTGAAAATTATTCACTTCGTCAAGGTCGCCATTACTACGTATAGAAAATTGTCAATTTGTGAGGTACATTTTCTGTGGCAAAGGGCATTTATGTGTTGTACAATTTAATAATGTTGACCATATTATAACCACACCAGATAAAACCATATCATAGTCTAAATAAAGTAAAGAATATGTGGTGTGTAGTATAAGGAGACATTGAAGTTACACTGCACTATTGTTTGTGCATGCTTTTACTCTCGTGTTATCATAGTTATTATGTACAGTCATCAATGTAAAACAAATCTGATGCTGCTTTTGTAACAGTAGCGAGACAGGTCCAGTTTTGTATTATTTCCTTCCGCATACATGTATAGTGTTGTGCTCTGAAGCCAATATGGCTATCTGTAATAAAATTGTGGTCAGACAATTGTTTTTTAAATGGTCATGAGTATGTTTTTCTAGACATTTTGATAAAACAGGAAGTACTGATATTGGCCTTTAGTTACACAAAAGCCCTTTTTTACCCTTTTTAAAAAGAGGGCTTACTTTCGCATACTTCCAAACTTCCGGAAAACGGTTGTCAATACTAAAATACATTATTTTACAAACAATTGGAGCAATGGATTTAGCACAGTACTTCAAATGTTTGCGCTTATTTTGTCGAGCCCTGTGGCTTTGTTGACATCTATATTCAATAAAAAGGTTTCAATAAACGTAGTGTTAACTTGAGGAATATTCTGAAGAGTCGGTACTACATGTTTCTTTTACATATTGATCAGCTATATTAGTGAAATACTCATTAAAACAATTTCCTATTACAGCTTCATCAGTAATATCATTGTCATTTGGATCTTTCATAAAACTCGTTAAACTGGAAGATTCCTTTGGACATATTTTTATGTAATTCTTCCAGTAATTATTGGAATGTTTACACTGATCTAGAACAGAAGTGAAACAAGTTAATTTTGCAGATTTTATCATCGCTGTTACTTTGTTTCTCCATTTGCAATATAGTTCTATTCGTCCCTCACATTTGTGTTTGTTCCTTATTTGTATTGCCATGTTTATATCATCAGTCCACCAGTCGGGCATTGCATGTGTTCATTGTTCATTGAGCATCAACATCTGCAATCCTTGTTTGATTATTTTATGTTCTAGGGCAGCGAGAGTAAAAAAAATGACATTATCAGCTGGGAAGAGTACTTCATGGGCGTAGCTTTGTTGTCTTCCAGGCGAAGCAAGGACCCCAATACACAAGTACGTGTCGCAAAGTTATCTACTTTCTGTTGTTTATAAATGACTTAACCTACCTGAGTCCGACTATAGATGGTGTAGATAAGTGTGACATGATACCGCTTGTTTCTACTTACAACCCCTGTTATTTTAATGCGTTTTGGTTTATCAAAAGCTTTGAAATTTTTTTGAAGAGAAATGAACATATTGGAAATTCCTTTGCAAAAAGAAATGTGTTCACTGTAAAAGACAATCCGAAAATTTGATAAAAGATCATTGTGTAAGTTTATTGGTTCCAAACAAAACGAACGTGGGTCGTCATGTAACAAACTAAGATTAAATGTTGAAGTATCATTGTGGATGGAGAAGAATTTTCATTTAAAATAGAAAACGAGCTTATTTGAAATGTAGAAGGTTGTTTATGCAATTATCTGTGCTAATTGTTCTAAATTTTCCATTGGACGAACTAGTTGTGCATTACGTCAAATCATGAAACTTCACAGACAACAGACTCGTGACCATATTATATTTTTAAATGTATATAAACATATTCATTCTTATGCAAATGATAAATGTCTGATTGAACAATATCTTCATAATATAATTTCAGATAGCTTAACAAATGTAGTGTCCTTTTGCTAAATATATATCCCATTATCACTTTGATATTCAAATGTATCTCTATGTATCCTTATTTCGCTTCTTGTATTCAGAAGTATATTTATTTACTACAATTCCTTCACCATCTAGTTCTTGTTCATCGAATTTTTGTGGTATTTCAGGTTGGAGCTTGTATAGTTAATAAATTCAAAAGAATAGTAGGGCTTGGATACAATGGCTTCCCTGATAACATCCCTGATAACGATAACAAACTCCCATGGGGAAAATCGTCAGAGAAGGATGCGGAAGGCTACGTGCAACACAAGGGCCTATATGGTAGTATTATGAAAGTACGAATGGCAAATTCAAAGTGCCGATGGTACTGTAAACGTAGACATAACAATGTTGACTGTATACATGTAGATGATAGTACGTTTCATGAACAATAAAATCATGTCAGCGACAGCATTTCAGAAATTAGTCATGCAGTCATTAATATTTTTATAAAATACAAACTATGAAACTATTATCAATGATATAAAACAGCGTGAGAACCGCCCTTCGTTTTGCCATCAGTATGGATCAGTAACAGAAATGAAGTAATTTTACAGGAAATTTGTAAGTCAGAATGTCATTGAAGCACAATTCAAATTCTTATCTGTCTCAGTAGGTCCCGGAAACTATCTAAGCTTGTCGAACGCACATGCATTTAGAAATATTGATTTAATTATAAAAAAGATAACATGTATGCTCTTTTTTATCAGTTAGATATTGTACAGCATATTTTTGGAATTTAATAAATGCAATGTTAAGATGACTTACTTTTGACTTTGTGACTACACTGTGGACTGTTTATTTTACAATGATAATTTAATGGTTAAATGGAAATTTTCCTTCAGTGTGCCATGCGGAAATGAATGCCATTGTCAATAAGCTGTCTGTGGATATTACCGGCTGTACCATGTACACAACGCTATCTCCATGTAATGAATGTGCCAAACTCATCTGTCAACTCCGCCTCGGTAAAGTCGTCTACTATGAAAGAAAGACTGAAGATAAAGAAGGAAAATATAAAGCAGCGGAGAAGATGTTTAAAGAGGCAGGAATAGAATGGGTGTAAGTGATTAACATACTAAATATATATGATACAAAAATCAGCAATTGTTTCATAGTTTGTTGTTCCTACCTAATACTAGAGTACAGTAACCTTCACCTTAACATTTTTAAAATCCCTATTGCACATTTACATACCACAGTGAATCACCATGTCAAATTAAGAAAAAAAATAGTCTTTCGGTTTCCGAGATAATTTCAGGAAACGAAAGTGTGGACGAATGAACGAACAGACAGACAGACACATTGATTACTATAGGGCACCAGCATCTATGATGCTATCGACAGATAGACATATAGTTAATAGTTTTTTCCCATCCTAACAGTTTTTATTGTAAATTTCCGGCTTTTAAAATCTAGCATAATAATACTGTAATATGACATTTACACTGCTCAGTAAGTCTATTTGTAGCCTTTGCAAAGTTTGTATATGAATCTGTATTTTAAAATTAGATATTTTTTTTGCTTCAAAACTTTATAGTAATAGCTTAAATGTTTAGAAATAGCTTATATCAAGTACTTGAGGTAAGCCTGTACAGTCAGAAGTGTTGCTTTAACGTTTACGAATCCTTTTGCTGATATAGTTTCGCAATGGTTTTAATGTTTCGAACAAAAATATTCAATTTAGTGATTAATAACGATTGAGACAGAAAAAGATATAGAAAAATATTTAAATAAAAGTCAATTTTATTATAGCATTGCTTTGTCTAAATTGTCTCGATATTCTACCCGTCCAGTACCTCTAGAACCATTGTTTAAATGTGGTTATAAAACATCGTTGTTAGTAAAAAAAGGCACCAAAATATAACGTATTTTCTACGTTGATTAAACAATGAAGTAAAACAGAATTATTTGTATCTTACGTCTTTCTGTGTGACGTCATGCTATATATAATGTTTCCATCGTGCTCTGTTTCTTCTGAAAAACAAGCATAAATGACGAACAATAGAACTGTAAAAGAAGTAGAATCTACCACAGTGAATCACCATGTAAAACTAAAAAAAAAAATAGACTTTAGGTTTCCTAGATAATTTAAAGAAATGAAAGTGTGGACGAACGAACGAACAGACAGACAGACAGACAGACACCTTGATTACTATAGGGCACCAGAATCTATGATGCGGGGCCCAAATTATACTTATATTATTTGCCTCTAAAAAGTTAAATGAAGAATTTGTGGCTGGTAAATTTAATTTTCGTAGTCTACATCAATTTAACATATTTAAATTTATATTATAATCAAAACATTTTTTTTTTTATTTACCGACAGATAGACATATAGTTAATAGTTTTGTTCCCGTCCTAGTTTACCAGTTTTTATTGTAAATTTCCGGCTTTTAAAATCTAGCATAATACTGTAATATGACATTTACACTGCTCAGTAAGTCTATTTGTAGCCTTTGCAAGGTTTGTATATGGATCTATTTTAAAATTAAATATTTTAGCTTCAAATTTTTATAGTAGTAGCTTAAATGTTTAGAAATAGTTTATATTAAGTACTTGGGGTAAGCCTGTACAGTCAGAAGTGTTGCTTTAACATTTACGAATCCTTTTGCTGATATAGTTTCGCAATGGTTTTAATACTTGCGAACAAAAATATTAAATTTAGTGGTTACTAACGAGTGAGACAGAAAAAGATAAAGAAAAAGATTTAAATAAAAGTCAATTTTATTATAGCATTGCTTCGTCTAATTTGCCTCGATATTCTACCCGTCCAGTACCTCTAGAACCATTGTGTAAATGTGGTTATAAGGCATCATGGTAATTAAAAAACAAGCATCAAAATATAACGTACTCTCTACGTTAATTAAACGATGAAGTAAAACAGAATTACTTGTATCTTACGTCTTTCTGTGTAACGTCATGCTATTCCGTCTTTGCGTATTGCAGAGTTATCTTCTCTTGGGAGCAGGTATTGATTGTTACGTCACTTGTTTGTGAGAGTAACGTCATCAATTTTTGAGAAAACGATGTAATTTTCTCACACAAACCAATGACGTAACAATCAATACCTGCTCCCAAGAGAAGATAACTCTGCAATACGCAAAGACGGAATATATAATGTTTCCATCGTGCTCTGCTTCTTAACAACAAGCATACATGACGAACAACAGAATTTTAAAAGAAGTAGAATCTGTTCAAGACATTTGATGCTACCGATTGTTTACATAAATCTTGGCGTGACTTTCATTTCTTAAATATTTAGCTTCCTGTCCCACATCTGTGTTGGGATATTTACTCCGGATTAAATGATACATTAAAATAGTATAATTATAATAAATGCAAGCAGAAACTCCCTTCGCACTTATACAAACGTACTCGGGTTGATTTAAGTTTAAGCTACAAACCTACACCACGAGAAATGGGAAATATACAGTGTAGTTTGATCGCCTTGTTGTATTGCGAAATTATATATTGATTTAAAAAAGTTAAAATTTTGTTTTGTTATAGGAGATACAAGTGTAAGCGCAGAGAACTGGAGATTTGAGACCACGATTTTGTGCTGTGATGTCCTGGAACAATGTGGACATTTCCCGACCAGAATATCTTCTTTTTGTGTGACCGTTGAATGAACAGTCAAGTGTAACCCTGTTTTATCTTATTATTATGTTAATAAGATTTAAAAAAAAAATTTTTTTCCAAATAACAGTTAATGAAAAAGACGTATTATTGATCCCAAACAATAAATTAAATTTCAATTAAACATTCTGAGCTCCTAAATGATTGGTTTCTATTTTTGTAATTTAGTTAACAAGTTCATGTTTCCTGATAAAATATGATATTTGAAGACTAATTATTAATTGCAATGAATAAATGGAAAATCAAATGATTTGTTTTCTTTAAATCTTAAAACAATAAAATATTTTTTAGCTTCCAAATAATAGAATTTGCTTTTTATTTTGATATAATGAACGTTATTGTAATTATATATTTGTTTTGCAATTTTGGACTGAACACGATACAGGCAATGACAGTATGTTCATTTTTTAATCAGTTTGTTTGGAATTAAACGAGTGTCAACACCTCTAATTAATAATTAAACTAGAAATATGTCAGAATGACATGAAAGTCACCCCTCATTCTGTATGATCATTTTCCGATAAATCATTGACCAAGCTACAACGGATATATTTCCACCTGTCAATCAAAATAGTAAACAATTACCAGGTGTAAATACATACATGCTGTTCAGGTAGCCATGGCAAAACAGGGAATTAATAGGAAAGCATGTCGCAAATATAACGTTAGCGTTGACCGACACCTCGAATACGGGGAGATCTACGCGCTGACACGGTCACCTGGCATGGACAGAACAGGTAATTGGAATATAACGATGTTGTTTTCACAACAATAAGTTTCAGAAAAGATTCAATCTTATATACGGATAAATCTTCTACTATTTTTTGTTATGAAATACACTTTTCCAAGTAGTTTTCTGATCGTCTGCAAATCCGACTTTGTGTACTGTACGCTTACAGGCAGTCACTCCGACGAGGACCGCCAACAGCCGAATTCGCAAGACATGAAGAACACCAAACAATTGTGATATCAGCAATTCTCCTTCGAAAAGAAAAGATCGGAATGTATTTGGCTGTTTTGAACCCGTTGATATTTCATTTTCAAACTCAAACTTTTATCATTATCGGTTCAATTCGCATGGATGTCATTATAAATTCCTGCCGGTTAATTGTATCACGCAACTTCGACTCTCTGCGGTACACAAACTCGCTAACTTCGCCACTTTACCCGTGTCGTTTTGACACATTCCTACCGTACGGACAAGATTGAAGAGTTCAGCAAGATTTTACCCAAGAACGACATTTTAACCACAGAGTAATAAATCCGATGCAATTCTTCGTTATGTTTCCCGATACGTGGTATTTATCAATTCACAACGTAACGTCCTGAAAAGTTGAGTCTACTTTACTCGAGTTTATTTATCCGATTCTATAGTATTATATGACTTTAACTTGCAACTTTTCGTAATTGTTAAATTGGCAATGCAATCAGGGATGATCCTCGAAAAATTTACGAGAAATGGTCGCGACCAAGGACTGGTTTTGGATTGTTCTTGAGTATCGTGTACACCCCTTTCTTGACACTTCATTTTCCCCTTAAAAAAGTGTGCACTATACGCAAATATTAACGGAAGTCGTTGGTCATACATAAAATATCTAAATCAGTCAATAGCAATTTATAATACGACAGTTTACCCCTTCGGGAACCTCAAAGGTGCCTGATTCGTACTCGGAACATCTTTAGGTTATATGTAATTCCCGTGGGGAATTTTGAACGCCTTTAGGTTTTATCCTATTCCTGTTTAAAAAGGAAATCGATATCTGAGTTATCCAAGAGCTTGTAATTAGCGCCCGGTACATTCCGACAGAAGCAAGATACACAACAGCCCTCCTAACAGATCAAAATCTGGGACTGAAACCAAAATTAATAGTCCCCACTGGGGTGACTAAAAATTCTGTACCTGTAAAACAAAACCGCATGAGGTTGTCTTGGGTGCCCTTTTCCGAGGAAATGTATACATAAGAATAAATCTGTAGCACGAATTATATTTAAATTTTGACTTGCCCCCGTCTCTAAAATATTGAATTTGTTATTAAAAAAACCTATTAATTTTTATCACTTGGATGTCTGGTTCCAGTTTTCAAACTATGGGAAGGTAAGTAAGTAGTAAAATGCAGCTGGGAAATTATTCATTAAAACTTAGGGGCTGGTAGCCAGTCTACTGCCAATTGTCAAAGGGTTAGCTTACCTGGGGGATCAAAAAAAACAATTAAGAATATTTCATTTTCCAGAACTGTCTATAATGTGCTATCAGTGTTAGTTTTTGTGTACTTTTCAACTGTGACTTTTTTTTAGTGAACCAAACCTAAATGACAAGGGATTACTTTAAAAGATTCATTTTCATTTTCACTCATTCGCCCCTGAAGACACATTTGACGTCTTCCAAATCAAAGGTTTAAATAGTTCATAATGAAATTTCAGGGGTGAATCAGTTAACAGTTGGCGTCATCTGGATGTATTGTGGCGATTTCACATATCAATATAATACAATATTAGGAAAGTGATTTTGTTGAAAATGTTAATTTAACCACGTGACATACGTCGCAGTATTAGCTCCCGTTTCTCGCCTGTAACATATCATGAACCTTTTTATAGTTTTATAACATAACGAAAAATGCAGTGTATCAACGGGTTTAATCACACGGTTATATATACACACACACTCGTGAACATTTATATACTTCAAATTGAACTTATCTATTTAGTTCATATCTGTGGAAGATATTTTACATCTTACAGCGAAACTAGCTTTTACTAAACACCACATAGACCGTTCAAAATAAACATGTTAGAATCACGCAGATTTAAATCGTTCAGAACTCTATCATTTTTGTTTGGATCTTTACACCCGTGGTTCTATACATTAAAATAAAAGTGTCATAGTTTTTGATATTTTCTAATTCAGTCAACTTTCACGACCTGTATCGATTGTGTCTCACTGATAGTATTTACCATTTCCGACAGGAATCATAGCTTTCTTAATGTTTCTGAATGCACTGAATGGTCCGTACAAGAATGGTTGCTGAGCCACCGATAAAACAGATTTGCTTTTGAATGATTTGAGTTTTTTGGCCGATTTAGCTTTCTTTCTTGCCTTGGCACCAGGTTGGGTGGATTGGTATGTCGCCGGATAAGTTGAGCCAGAACTAGGGTAATGTGAGCTAGGATTAGTATAGTATGCAGTAGGACCCGGAGCAGTAGTAGGTTCGGGATAGGGTTTCCCATCTCTACCAACTGGTATTTGTTCGATGTTAGTTGCTCTATATATTCGCCCGAGCATTTATGTGTCACTGTAACGTCGGATTGCCGGGCCAGGTGGATTCGTAGACACTGGAATATTAATATAAAAACAAAACATAATTCAACTGACCTCCGAAAGCTCATTCATGCTCAAAAGTACTTCATTGTTATCATAATGAACTATTCTTATATTTCACATCTTGGTTTGAGCTATTAGTAATATAGGGAAAGGAATCAATCCCACGTGCTTACAATGGAGGCACAGATCCCTTATAGGATTCCTGACCCACTGTGTTTTTTTCGTATATACAGTAACCTCCTCTTATTAACTTCCGTTTGAAAATAGCACCGTTTGGCAAGGGTATACTTCCGTTGACCAGGTAGCTCAATCGATTTGAGCGATGATATAACAATCTAAAGTGCAGGGTTCGAAAACCGTTTTACCCCAGCTGACATTTTACACTCGGAACACACTAATTGATTATAGTTGTATTTATTTCATCATTATTCTCTTTTATAAAAGTCCCCTAAGGTAGAGTTTTCTTTTCAGAAATGATTTATCAAAGCTGTATCATGCCGAGAGAAACGGTTTGCAATACTAAGTTACAGCTGTTGACATTGTTACGAGGATCCTTAAAAGAATACGATATTTACAGAGTAACAGAGTAGTATTACATTAAAGCATAAGATAATAGATTTGATCATATCGGTGCTAGTTCTTGTTATACCATAAAACAATGAGTTAAGGATCTATGTACAACTGCCAAAAATCTGAATCCGGCATAATTGGCATGGGGTTTTCTTTATGAAGAATTGAAGATGAAATAAGCAAAACATAATTCACCAGCGCTCGACCGGGATTCGAACCTTGCACTTGGATTGTTTTACTGTCTCTCTAACCTACTGAGCTTCCTAGTGCACCGAAGAGTGCTAGGCAAAATCTGCTACAGCTTTTCAAGAACGATGTTAAGGGGAGGTTACTCTACATATGAAAAACCAAAAGACAGTGGGACAGGAAGCCTTAACATGTTCTTGTCAAATTATGTATCTAGTTTTGTTTATGTATTTAAACATGCTTCGTTTTAGCAATATTTGATTTGAAAACTGTTTAATTCGTAGACGCAAAATTATTATATAATCTCGTATATATAAATATGCTTATGATTCTTAAAACATAATGCAAATACCACATGTGTAGCCGTCCCCTTGAAATCCGGGTTTACATTCGCATCGGTAAGTCATAGGTTCGGTGATGCAGTAAGCATTTGGGCTGCATCCCGATTTACCGTTCACACATGCGCTCGCTTCTGTAACAAACCAACGTAAATCGTTATTACCTTTAATACTAATTTTATACAGAAAACCCACTTCAGTTACATTGGAATTTGCAATACATAAAGTTTATATGTCTGTTTAGTAATTGACTGTATAATGGTGACACGGCTAAGTACTCTTTTTGCGTATTTATTTCATAGCTCAAATTCCGTATTTATTCATACCATTCAATACATTTAATCGACCTGGAAGACCGTCTCCAGCTAAACAATCCTTACATTTGCATTTTCTTACGACCTGTAGTACCTTTTCCAGCTAAACAGTCCTCCATTTGTATCTACTTACGACCTGTGATACCGTTAAATGCAGTCACCCTTCAGTTATAAGAACTTACGACACGAGGAACCGTCTCCAATGAAGCCATCCCTACAGACACATATGAAAGCCCCAATCGTGTTGATACAGTCAGCGTTGATGTCACATTGACCAGGCTGCACGCATCTGTCAATATCTGTCAATACATCACTACTTATTATTAGTAAAAGTCTTACAAATGAAATAGAAAACTACACGAAAATGTTAACAAACGAAACTCCAAATTCACATAAAATAAAGTAAGAAACTTTGAGCTGATACTCAAAATGTAATCACCATGAGCTTTTACATTTATTGCGTTTCACATACGAGCGAAATATACAGGAAACTATTGTTCATAGTAAATTTATATTGCGTCTTAAATCCCATATAAGTTAATTTGCTTAAAATAAGAGGACATAGCGGCTATACAAAAGAATCAATTTCCTTAACTTATCTACATAATTTATTCAAACGTGGAAACGTGCAAAAATCTATCAAACTATGCTAATACAAATAGTATGAATCTACTGATACGTACCCCATTATAATTGTCGAAGATACTTTGCAGTGGCGCAATAACTTTTTTTCCTATTAAACCCGTCTTAATTGTCCCCCTTACCAAATACATGTATTGGGTCAATATGTTAAAAATAGCGTAAAGCCGTATTACATATATACAATTGATGTTTCACTTAATTCGAGTAACTTTAATTAATTAACAACTTTCTTTTGCCAGTTTGAATGAATGTTCAGATTAAATTGTATCTATTTGATAATCTTTTTAAATGCTTAATTGTGACGGGTTGAATAATGCATCACTACTTTATTCTTTAAAAATGGTAATAATTATAATTTAACGATCGACTTCAGATATACACTTTTTGTTTGTGTATCAAATACATTTAAAAAAAGTGGTTTATGAAAAATGTACGGTACTACTAGAAAAGCGTTTTAGACCACTGATTGTGTTGTAGGCGATGTCTTTATATTAACTATTGGCAAAGGCAAATATCTGCAAATATATAATTCTAATTTGTGCCTCATATTTGTCACAAGAACAGCAATACAATCCTTATGTTTGCCACTAGAACAACAGTACAGTCCGTATGTTTGCCACTAGAACAACAGAACAGTCCTTATGTTTGCCACTAGAACAACAGAACAGTCCTTATGTTTGCCACTAGAACAACAGTACAGTCCTTATGTTTGTCACTAGAACAACAGTAGAGTCCTTATGTTTGTCACTAGAACAGCAGTACAGTCCTTATTTTTGCCACTAGAACAACAGAACAGTCCTTATGTTTGTCGCTAGAACAACAGAACAGTCCTTATGTTTGCCACTAGAACAACAGTACAGTCCTTATGTTTGTCACAAAAACAACAGTACAGTCCTTATTTTTGTCGCTGGAACAGCAGTACAATCCGTCTGTTTGCCACTAGAACAACAGTACAATCCTTATTTTTGCCGCTAGGAGAGCAGTACAATCCTAATGTTTGCCACTAGAACAGCAGTACAGTCCTTATGTTTGCCACTAGTACAGCAGTACAGTCCTTATGTTTGTCACAAGAACAACAATGCAGTCCTTATGTTTGCCGCTAGAATAGCATTACAGTCCTTATGTTTGCCACTAGAACAACTGTAGAGTCCTTATGTTTGCCACTAGAACAGCAGTACAGTCCTTATGTTTGCCACTAGTACAGCAGTACAGTCCTTATGTTTGTCACAAGAACAACAATGCAGTCCTTATGTTTGCCGCTAGAATAGCATTACAGTCCTTATGTTTGCCACTAGAACAACTGTAGAGTCCTTCTGTTTTCCACTAGAACAGCAGTACAGTCCTTATGTTTGCCACTAGAACAGCAGTACAGTCCTTATGTTTGTCACAAGAACAACAATGCAGTCCTTATGTTTGCCGCTAGAATAGCATTACAGTCCTTATGTTTGCCACTAGAACAACTGTAGAGTCCTTATGTTTGCCACTAGAACAGCAGTACAGTCCTTATGTTTGCCACTAGTACAGCAGTACAGTCCTTATGTTTGTCACAAGAACAACAATGCAGTCCTTATGTTTGCCGCTAGAATAGCATTACAGTCCTTATGTTTGCCACTAGAACAACTGTAGAGTCCTTCTGTTTTCCACTAGAACAGCAGTACAGTCCTTATGTTTGCCACTAGTACAGCAGTACAGTCCTTATTTTTGTCACAAGAACAACAATGCAGTCCTTATGTTCGCCGCTAGAATAGCATTACAGTCCTTATGTTTGCCACTAGAACAACAGTAGAGTCTTTCTGTTTTCCACTAGAACAGCAGTACAGTCCTTATGTTTGTCACAAGAACAACAATGCAGTCCTTATGTTTGCCGCAAGAATAGCATTACAGTCCTTATGTTTGCCACTAGAACAGCAGTACAGTCCTTATGTTTGACATTAGAACAGCAGTGCAGTCCTTATGTTTGTCGCTAGAACAACAGTACAGTCGTTATGTTTGCCGCTAGAACAGCAGTACAGTCCTTATGTTTGCCACTAGAACAGCAGTACAGTCCTTATGTTTGCCACTAGAACAACAGTACAGTCTTTATGTTTGT